TTTCTGCCCTATCCTTCAACACGGGGGAGGAAGTGTTACACGAAGGATGGAGTTCTTATGATAACTTGTTTGGAATTCTTATGATAACTGTCACGGAGTTCCTGGAAAACGTTACGGATTTCTGTGGAAAACTTTTCTATATACTTAGAGAACTCGCGTAAAAAATGGTTATTTTTAACTTTAAATGGGGAGTTTGAGGTGCTAAATGAAACTTTGATAATTAAGCTTGCCCTACATATTGTATTATGTTTCCGAAAAAAATATTTTAGTCCATATTTCGTCGCCGTTTAAAAAAATCTGGTAGTTTTGAGAAAAATTTCCAAATTACTTGCTAATTCGTACATATTGACTTTTTCATTTGTGATCTTTTTCGTTGCTATACATAATGACCTAATTATAGTAGAGAGTTGCAAACATAAAGCCCGGGCTAATAAATGTATACCCGATTTTTCAAATGTTACGGAGTTCTTGTGATAACTCAAAATATGTCCTGGAGTTCTTATGATAACTTTTGTTACTGCGAGTGTGTTTCTTGTGCTTAATTACGGCACGTTTAAGCGTATTTTATTTGTCAATAAGTGTGTAAATCATTATGAAGCATAGTACGCTTATCATTTGCACAAAAATTTGGTTATATAACGTTGGTTTTGATCGTGTTTTAGTTCCTAATTAAATTTGTGCGAACTCATATTGACATTATAAAACCCAACGAATGCACTAAATGTTTCCGTGTATACTGTTCGTCAACAAAAGTTTTATGTCATAAGTTTCCGCAAATGCAACATTGAGGCCATGTGGCAAAATTAAAACACGATCAATGAATATATCTGGAGAAGACATGAAACTGCTTTGGTGTACAGTCTACATAGGATAAACAGGTGCTAAGTTATATCTTCAGGAACGACCGCCTCCGTGGTCGAGGGGTTTGAGTCGATGACTTCTAATCCAGTTACCTCTCTGGTGTGGGCTCGATCCCCGGGAGATGCTTTGGTAGTTTAGCGCGGAGGAAGGTAGTCTAGTACTGGTTTAACTCTCCAGGAACGATGGAAACTACCCGCCCATATGACTGAAATACTGTTGGGAAAAGGCGTAAAATGAAACAAACAAACAAACAAAATTCTTCAGGAAAACCTGAATCAGGGGTCACCTGTATTCAGCAGTAACATGGCTTAAACCGCCAAGGAAAAAATATTTAAAACTTACACTTTTTCTCTCAGATAACTTGTTTTAAGCAACCGCCTTTCTAAAGCAGACAATAAGTTGGGCTTCTCTCAAGAAGCGGCTAAGTAAATTGTATCATTATATACCATGTAACGTATATAACCGGGATATCCTTCACACCCATGCACCCGAAATGTATGATCTTTTTATGAATAAAAAATCAACCGATTACTACCGATCTCTTCGACAGATTTGCACGTGCCCTACGTGTTCGAGCGAAAGAAGTTCAACAATATATTTTTGCAATCAATTACAGCAAAAGTTGTTGCAAAATTTCCCTAGGACTCCAGCTTTGATAAGAAAAATGTATGCAGTAATTTTCCGAAATATGGAAATTGCTATACGTCACGTGATGCTACATTGGATTTAATAGAGAAAGGAACAAGGTCGATAAACGGCATGAACCTTACGGTGACTCACATATCTTATTAAAGACTTACTTTCTATCGTCATATCATTGTCATAGAACTTTATACGTTTCTATGACAAAAACTGATACCTTTTAGAAATTGAAATACCCGTTGAATACATAAAGACGACACCCACCTCATTAAATTTAGATAAGGGTAGTGCATATTACCTACTATTTTGCTGATAACCATTTGCGTGCATACCGATAGCATAGTTACTTAATGTTCTCTAAAACTGCCAGGAATAATGCATATATGACGAAATCATGCTTGAGTATTAAATTCAAAGCGTATTTTTATCCTGTAAGTAAATGCTCTACATCAAGTATGTTTACAGTCATTCCAATAAAATAAAAAACACACACACACAAAGACCAAAACAAACACAAAAAAAAACCCACAAGAAACGGAGGTAAGAAAAATATCTCTTGAACTGAAAAACACGATCAAAACCAACGTTATATAACCAAATTATTTTGCAAATGATAAGCGTACTATGCTTCATAATGATTTACACACTAAAAAGTCTTATTGACTAATAAAAATACGCTTAAACGTGCCGTGATTAAGCACAAAACACTGGCAGAAACAAAAGTTATCATAAGAACTCCAGGACATATTTTGAGTTATCGCAAGAACTCCGTAACATTTAAAAAGTCGGGTATAAATTTATTAGCCCGGGCTTTATGTTTGCATCTCTCCATAATTATTAGGTAATTAAGTATAGCAACGAAAAAGATCACAAATGAAAAGGTCAATATGTACGAATTAGCAAGTAATTTGGTAATTTTTCTCAAAACTACCAGATTTTTTTTAAAAGGCGACACAATATGGACTTAACGATTTTTTCTGAAACAAAATACAATATGTAGGGCAAGCTTAATTATCAAAGTTTCATTTAGCACCTCAAACTCCCCATTTAAAGTTAAAAATAACCATTTTTTACGCGAGTTCCCCAAGTATATAGAAAAGTTTTCCACAGAAATCCGTAACGTTTTCCAGGAACTCCGTGACAGTTATCATAAGAATTCCAAACAAGTTATCATAAGAACTCCATCTTTCGTGTAACACTTCCTCCCCCGTGTTCAAGAGGACCCTCCCATATGACCCCAACCGGTATAAATAAACTCAAATACACGCACTTTGATCATTCTATTAAACATCTAACACTAAACTGAATTAATAAGCCTATGTTTAATGTTGACGCCTCGCCAGTCTTAAATTTCGACTATTTGTTAAATAATTTTATTTTGCAAGTAATAAACAAATTTATTTTTCAATATATAACTTGAAAACGATACGTGTGATATTTATTATATCATATAATAATATAATATTTTTCAAGTTATATACATTTAAATACAACAGTTTACTGTTACCATTGATAATCGTTTTTGTTTAAAGTCCAAATGTTTATTTTTATTAAAATCATGATTTTTGGTATTTTCATCTTTAAACATAAAATCTGATATGCGTGGATTGTTATCTACCTGGTTTAAAAGTCACAGTTTTAACTTCCCGGCCCAAATGCCGAGTTACATACATTTAGCAACGTACCTCTATCCGTCATTCCTGAGTAACAACTATAAAATTGTTTACGTTGTTTTTATTAGTAGTTGAAGATCTTACAATCTTTTTAAATAATCCTTTCAATCTATATAGAAAAAATCTATCCTGATTGACAAAACTGATCGTATAGCCTTAGTATTAAAATAGTAAATGCCTATCAGTGTTAAAATTAAATAAAAGAATATATATTTATCTACTATTAATATTTGTAAGAAATCAAGTGGTAAAAATAAATCGTCTTTTTATGTACACAAACTGTAAAAAATAAGCAACTTGAAAAATTGGAGTAAATCTGAATTACCTCCCCTGACATTACGTTAATGGATACTATTGTATAGGTATGTTATCTTATCGCGATGTATTTCGGACAGACCGTGGTTGGACATTGGTTTCATAAGTGAGAGGGCCGAAGATTAGGTCCTTATCGTGTCTCAGAAATAGAAAAAAGTAAATGACTGGAATCTTAATGCAACCTATTTTGCTGCGTTTAAACATTTGACTTGTCACAAGACATCGGAATAAATACCTTGAATACCTTGAATTGTTTGTAAGGGATTTGTTTCTGTTTGCACATTCAGGAATCAGACATGAGTAGCAATATGTAATATTGAAGTCATATTATAATTATCATAGTCATATTTATTAATTTATCTTTAATTTCATCACTGATAAAATTTTAGATTATTAGATTTAGGAGTTACAACACCAGAAAAAGGATGATAAACCAAATCATTCACTAACCTTAAAAATTCATATATTTTTTATTCCATTTTTTCAATAGTTTACTCTAGTTCTCACCGATCTATTCAATGAGAGAACACTGCCCTTCATAAGTTCAAACGTCTAGGTTAAATCTTTAGATTCTTACATCTACTGAGTTTATGTAACGGTGTAACTGAATTGACCTCTTTTCAATTTGGACCTTAAGAGATTTGACAATGTACAAAAATATGGGTTTCCAACAGTATAGAGCCTGGCCAGACTATAAAGATGTACAACTTTGTCTGGCTCTATACTGTTGGAAAATGCTTATTATTTCTGGTTCAAGTAGGCAAATTGTTAACACTGTCTAAAAACAATGACACCATACAAAAACTTGGATATATCTTCAAGAACACTTTGCAGCTGCAACTTTGCAGCGTAAAGGAAATATAAAACTATCCAAAAAGACAACTGCTCGGGAAATAATTTATACACAGCAGAGAACTGCTGGAAAAGAACAAAATTGTAACAATAAATTTTGATGTACGTGTTTTGTTTATCAAGTGCACAACTTTATTCATGCGTAATGTAAATAAAACAGTCATGTTTACAACGCTTATTTAAATAAATATTAAATTTTCATAACATTTTATTCAAATTTAACGAGACAAACAGGAAGTTTTGAAAACCCGATCTTTACATGCAAAAATCAACGTTTCATTTTACATAATTATACGTAAATATAAATAAACTGACATTCTAAAATGTATCAGTTTTACTTTAAAAATGCTAGTGAACATTCTTTGCTGATGAAAAAGATTCGTATGTCAATCGGCCTGTCCCAAAAGAAGCTTTATAGAATATTTTCAAATACAGTCGGACAAAAGAATGAAACATCCGATCCTAAGAAATCAAGCTGGATAGTTTTACGGATTTCTTGTATTTACCTTGATAACCTACATAGAAACACCAGCTGATTTCAAACTAAACGTTGAGGATGTGCACACCATAGTTTGGTTTTTGCATGTAAAGTGAATTTCGTCTTCTTGATCGCCTCAGTAGTTTCATTTCTCGGGAAAAAACAAGATACTCACTCAAGTCAATACCAATTTTAATAACTTAAAAATATACATAAAATATACATTTTCTTGTTTATTTGAATATTTATGAGGGTTTTTTTAATCGAAGAATACAAGTAAATTGTAAAATAATATATTATTTATATTACTAAGTTCACAAGGCCATAAATCTTAAACATTTATCTTTACTTTGAAGCATGTAACCTGTACATGTAATTAGGATAAAAACACATCAGCAATACTTGATTTAAAACTGACCTCTGTCGAGTTGTTTATGACCAAATGTTATGTCAATTATATCTCAGCGGTTGGTCTAAGAACATATTTTATTAAATGCTATCTCGACCTCTGCCTGTTTTTCCTGAAAAGGTACGTTAATACAGGTTTATGACTCTATCAGAAATTTGGTTATACCTGTTTATGAATTGTACAGTTATAAGAAGAAGTTTCGACGATCGTTATCACTTGGCAAAGATTAAGAATACAACATAAATATCAGTGTCAAAACATTCGCAAAAGACACAGTATTGCCAGCAATACTGTAGTGAAAAGGGGCGTGGCAGCCCTACCAGCGTTGATGCCATCCTCCAAAGTCTCCTTCAAAAGTTCACGGTCGCACGAATCCAGCCGGGCGAACCACGAGGAAAGGTCCAGTGTACCTCTTGCCGTTCTTCTCAAAACGTTTCTTATGAAGTCACCGACGTCCCCGGAGAAACACGGCTGCTGCTTAAGTTCTCTTACATAGTTCAAACATTTTATTCGACATTCTTCTGGCACACAAAGTGCATTCACCGTCATGGTAATGTTCACTGTATCAGGATCCCTTCAAGAAAGATATTTGAAAATTGTATAAGTTAATATATGTCTCATTTATATGTTTAGTTCAATTGTGATATAATTGTGATAAAACTGCTACTCGAGCCGGCTTTCTGGACAAAGAGGAACTGGTGTCAAAGGATAGTTCGAACACAACATCTATTAGGTATAAGGTACACGCGTAATCGTTAGAATTGCCAATTGCACGCTCCTCGGCTTTTGGTGTTGGTCAGAAATTTTAAACTAAGCCAACAATATTACAAAAAACTGTTGTTCCATAAGTTAATGTGTTTGTCAATAAACGCTTAACTCTTTGTTTCAAATCTAATAAGACCATCCTACATTTACTGGTATGACACCAGAATAGGTTATTGTAATTAAAGATATTTTTTAAATGGTCCTACAGGGGTCAATATATCTAAAACATCTGGCGTGTAAGCCGATATCGTCAGTTAAAGACCTACTTGATTGTTGGCACATGTGCTGGTTATTATAAAAGTATTTTAGCAGCATTCACTTTATGAGAAAGTTTTCTGCTTAATATCAGAAACAGGAAACGCCAGTATTACTGAAAGGCGAATCACTGCGTACTAATATATATTACATTACTGCTGGATAAATTACAATTGCAATGATTCAGAAAGTAGGTCGACCGAAAATTTTAAAAAAGGACCCACACAGATTACTCATTGCGTAGTAATATATTATGTATTTCACAAGAGACAAATAGATTACAAAGGTAAAATGATATTCAACTTAAGCGTTGTTTAATAGGTTGACAAGAAATTATTATGTAATCTCTCACGCAAGGTTCAAGATTTTACGTCTGTTACATCCACGGATCACATCTTGTCTCGTTTCACAAAAGCTTAAACTTTTCCAGGACACACATCCTATAAAAGAATAACGTTCGCTGTCAAAAATTTTAATGGATAGATTGAACGAATAATTTCACTAATAAGCCGAGAAGTCCTGTCAGCTGCTTAACTTCAACAACAGAAAATAAATACGTAATATACAGTATGTGGTCATGAATCCATTGAAGGAAAAATTCAGCAATTTTTTGTCATGTTTATTAAATCTTAATCGCTTTCGGAAAGATACAGGGAATTCGGATATACATGTAATTTTGTATCCTTCGAAACACCTTTGCTATGAACAAATTTGGTAGAAGTACTTATTCTGCTCACTTTGATCTGAGAAGTCGCGATTTCTTAACATGTCATGTTCATGTAAGTAACTTACGGCCAGACTGGAAATTCTCTTTTGGGTAGTAGGTAAAGAATGCAAGACACATCTCATCTGAAGTTGCGTCCCCAAATCTAGTTACTTGTGACTTTGTTATAGACGAAAAAACACACGTGGTTTTCAGCTCATCGCCCTTTTGTATCATTACCGGATTCTTATGACTGCAAGTGAAATCGATACATTTTTATATCATATACATTGTAATTCTATTAAGATTGTTTATACATTTTAATGTATGCCAATCATGACAAAATATAGCTTAAACTTAACATAAATAGACTAAATACAGCGTAACCTTATACCACATGGTGGCTTTTACCTAAACAAAATACACATGTGCAATGCTAAAAAGCATCTTTAAATAGCAGCTATGAAACTTCTATATACTAAGTATTCACTATTCCAAGAGAACAACCAAAATTTATTCAGGGTTAACATTACCTCCCATGGACAGTGTCAATTCCATGGACAGTGTCAATTAAAACTATTTTGCAATTTTCATATGATTGTATTTGTCTCCATTGCTTTCTATACTGTTCTAGGGATAAGCTGTTTAAGAGATGAGATTTTATAATAATAACTTCTCCATCAAGTAAACAAGTCAACCAAAGTTAATATTCAAACTTCAATATTTGCATCCACGTGCACAAACAACATGCCATGTCACAGATCAAATGAAGAAAAATTATGCCTATCATAATCAAATATTTTAAGTCTGATTTTACGTCTGAGTCAGTATTTTTAAAGGAAACTTACTCATGAGAAACAGGCGTGTTGTAGTCATAAACTTTGTCCTCGGCAAGATGCATCACAAACGAATTGTTTCTTCGTAGCTCTGTGAATTGTGCTGCACCTAAGGTTTAACGGGATATCAGTCAGAACATGTAATTTGCTTTTTCTCTTCTTTTTTTTCTTATTTTATAACATCAAATTCATTTTAATCACTCTCCAAATATTGCCCAATGGATATTGCTCACTAATCAATACTCACTTCATGTTTTACTAACTCGTCCTTTATCTCTCCCATAAATATTGCTTACTGACCAACAACAACTCACTCCATAAATTCCTTCATGAACTTTAATCGCTCGACAAAAATTGCCTCATGAACATTAACCACCATCACCATTTCATGAAAATCAATCACTCAAGTTTACACACTCCACTCCACAACCGTTACTATTTCAACACCGCTTATTCCGTGAACACTGCTCACCCAGAACTTCATCATTATAACCTGAACACAACTCACATCAAGAACATTACCTTCTACTTCCCAAATAAACAGTTTCCACTCATCAATGCATAGTATACGAACATGTTCACAATCCATGAATATTTTCCACTGAATACCATTCCTTTTTTTGCAATAGTCACTTACCTCTACTCACTCCAAAACACTGTTTTCATTGGTTATTCATCACTCCGTGAACATATGAACTTAAATTACTCCGCAAAAAATACTCATTGAACATTACTCTTTGCTCACTTTTTATGAATACATGTCAAAAATGAAACATTGGCATTGAAAACCCTTACGTTTTAACTACAATGAATCTAAAATAAGATGTTCATCTCCTATTGAATTACTGTATAATAAACTAAATTCTGAACAATGAAAATAGATTTTAAAAAAGATAATAAAAGCTGGTATAATTACCAAGAAGATGCATGTGATTGTTAACTTTTGTGACGTAGATGGTACCATTCACCATTTGCGACAGACAACTTCCGCCACAGGAACCGGAAGCTTCGTAATGCGACTCTCCAGGGGGGATTTCAAGGTGGAACTGACCAGTCATTAGGAAGCCGGCGTTGTAAGGGCGGAGCTTCGGGGTCAAATGTAAGGTTATACCAGAACTGTCTTTATAGTTGGATAGTTTTTGAGGGTTGTTCCAATGATGCTGCAAAATGATGTTTTCATAATATTTAGAATGTTTAGCTGAATCAGCATTACAAATTTGATTTTCTTTCATATAAAATAGTTCCGCGACATAAAGTAGATTTTTTCTGAAATACTGGCAATTAAGACCATTCATTTAGAGCAGGCAGAACTATGATATTACTACTACTACTGGCCTCGAGGTTATACAACTTTTATCTGAGTTCTGTCTGAAATCTCAGGATTTCCATTGGTCAGTGTACAGTCTGTGGCCGATGAAATATCTGAGATCCGAGTTTGAGCTTGGAGAATTTCGTTTTAACCTTCGAACCAAGTTTGTGATTAGGATAAAGTGAGAGATATCAGCGCTTCGAAAGGTTTACAAAGGTCAATCGGTTAACACGCGTTCATCTGTGAAAACAATATTTTCTTATCGTCAACGATTGGTCAATTATGGCTGATTCGTACTGAAAAATGACAATTGGCACATGATCAGTAGCCACACTATTATAACAGTTTTTGCGAGTGCTTGACAGTTAAACGCATGCGTAAAATTAAACAAGTGCGCGTTCGAGACCACGTGACGTAATACGTACGATGCAGTCCAAATAAGGGCCTGCAAAAACACCTCCCTGAAGTAATTGACTATATCTCCAATAAGGTTTATAAAATCGAAACTTTGCTTCAATAATTATTCTGATATAGAAAATATAAAATCTTTCAAATACTGGCCAATGTCCATTAAGCAAACAAAAAGATGTTTACAGTAATCACGCACCTCATCACGGCATTTTTTGAGCCCTTTTTTTTGCCCCTATTAAAATACCCACGTTTTTGGGTTTTTGGGAATCCCTATTTCCCCCAATGGACCATCCACCAAAAAGTTCCCGACAACCATCCATTGTTCCGCCACATTCCATCGGCTTCATAAGTTCCCTTGGGGCCACATTAACTGTAAAAAATTATGTACAAGTTCGTGAAATTACATGATAATTCGACGTGATTTTCCTTCATTTAGTGATATCTTCCACAATCGGTACTTTGAATAAAATACATTTAAATACATCATGGTACTTGGCGAAGCTGGTCGATTTAAAACGTAAAATACTTTTTTGAATACATTCATAAAGGAAATCAAATGCACAGAGGTACCTTGATTATAAAAAAGATACGATTCTTTTGTATATGCCATTATTGGAGAGGTTGGAGAGGTCCTCAGACCTCTCCACAGTGTGAAAAATTATTGATGGCGCCAACAATGTTCGCATATCAAAATAAAAGTTATGGATCTCTTTCAAAACCTAATATCAATAGAACCAGTCTACAAAAAAAATTGTTTTACGCATGATCCTCTTCAAAATACGACTCTTCTTAAACGAAAAATTAAACTCGAGGTGAGCAAATTGGTTAAAGGAAAAATCGGAAACTGTCATTTACGTTACATTCTTCACTGCATACAGTGGTTTATTCCATTACAATAAAAAAAACTATATAAATTGGTTATTGTTTACTAAACTGTGTTTTATTTTATTTTTTTATTTCAAACCAATAAACTATATAAATTCGTTATTTTAGTTTACTGAACTGCGCTTTACTTTTTCATGTTACAAAATATAGAAACAGTAAACACTATAGCTACGATATCGCAAAGCACTAAAAATGACCGAGTGAACCGTGTTAACCAAAGTTGTGCTGCTCTTTTAACTTCGGAACGCCTCGCTGGCTATCCTAACTAGAGACTGGCAAAAAAAGCCGATGACAAAGCTATTCTACCTATTTATTAAACATTTTTAGAATAAAACAAATCTTTCACGGGTGCAAAAAGACCTCTCGCATACTTCCTTTCAAAGAAGTAAATTGTAATTTACAGTCATTGTTCTGTGTAAACTTAGCTCGTAGTTGCGTGCAAGAAATAAAAATATTCATATATTAGATACCGGAAACTGGTTGTATTATTGTTAGTGCCCTGTTAGTCCTCTCTTGAATAAGTATTTACCTCGCGCTTCCCACACCCAAGCATGCACATTTTTTACTTTAACTTTCAATTTTCCTCTAAAACAATTGTAAATGACTGTAAAACCCACTAGACTTGACAATGTTTATAGAGAAATAAACAATCATAAAAATGTCTGACCTCCCTCGCACCCATACACTAATGTATGATGCATGATGTCCGAGTTGTCTATCACGGGCTCCGTTGCAATTAGATGGTACTCCTTGTCCATGGGCAGCTCAAACGTAATACACATGTACGTGGTCTCTTTGTTTGGCACTTTCGTTTCCGGGAATCGAACCGTAAAGTTAAAAGTGTCTGTAAAATATGAAATGCGATCGGTCATAATTAACAGCAGGTACAATAAGTACAAAAGTAATTTTAAAGGGCGTATTGCATGTCTTTTTCAGTTTTCGGTGTTTCTTCTTTTTTTCAATGTAAACCAGCATGATTAAAAAGATTGAAGAAACAACAAAAAAGTAAAAAAAAACAACAACAAACAAACAAAAACAAACAAACAAACTGGAAAGCGGCGAAGCTTGGTTTTAATATGCGTATACAGCAAATGTCAGAGGATGGGGTGTCTAAGGGCATCTCCTGAAATCATTGGGTTTTTTTTTTTTGTTGTAGTTGTTTTGTTTGTTTGTTTTGATTTTTTTTTCAATAAAAATGAATGCATTAATTTTAAAGTTTAATTATGATGTACATAATCATTTGCTGTACATATTTAATACATTCTTGAGGCGGATGGACTCTCATTAAGCATGGACTACATACATATGTTAAATCCTTAATTACAACATAGAGAATCTTTAAGCTTCTACATATTAAAAGTTTCAGTGGCTAGTAATGTGTTTAAGTTATTCAGTTAAATTGATTTCAGTGGTGTTTGACATTTACATTTTGAGGGAGTTCCTGTCAGATTAATATGCATGATTTATGGAGCTGGCTGGGAAATTAACTCTTCATCAAAACACCCGGCCTTAAAAGTCTACAATCCTGCATAGTTTACGGATACACTGTTGTTTGTTTGTTTGTTTCATTTTACGCTTTTTCCCAACAGTATTTCAGTCATATAGGCGGGTAGTTTCCTAACCATCGTTCCTGGAGAGTTACACCAGTACTAGACTACCTTCCTCCGCGCTTAACTACCAAAGCATCTCCCGGGGATCGAACCCACGCCAGAGAGGTAACTGGATTAGAAGTCATCGAGTCTAACCCCTCGACCACGGAGGAACATCCGTAAAATAAGTAATAGAAAGAGCATCGAAACACGAGGCTATCTGAGGTCATACGTAATCAGATGATGTTCTTTCTCTTTTGTATCATAGTTAAAAATAAAAACAGGCTCCCTGTTGTCAAAATATGACACCTCAGAAAAGATTAACCAATGAACGATTATCTGAATATGATATTTATCGTTTTTCCCTTCCCTGTCGCCACAATAAGTAAACCCCAGAAAAAATGAGCCAATCGAAGGGCATGCTCTGGAGTGCGGATAACTAATACCTGCATTCCAGTTAACGCACTGTACATGTATATGTAAACGATTTTTCAACAAACTATGATACAATATGATGTTTTTTGCATAGCAGACTGGCGTTTCCGTGTGTTTTACCCATGCCGGAAATTTCATCTGGCATGGGGGGTGCCAGATGAGTCGCGTGCTATACAATGGCACGCTTAGGATGACGTTATTTTACCGTTATGAATGAAGTTGTAATTTCATACGCTGTTGTTAGAAAATAGTTACGGCTGTAATGATATAAATTTCCGTTGAAAATAAAGATAAAGAAATTAAATTATAATGGAATATTGTAGAATATGCAAGAAAAAATATCCGACATATGTTTGCGGTTCGGATCGGAATATCCGTCCCTCGGTAACCCGCCCATGGGCGGTAACTCGGCAAGCCTCGTTACCGCCCAATGGGTGTGTCACCTCGGGACGGATATTCCGGTCCGAACCGTAACATATGACATATATTATTAATATAAAGAGCGAAGTGGGGTATATTTTGCGAAATTGAGTCTAATTCGTGATCTTGACTCACCTTTTAATCAATGTTACCATTATTTTCCTTACTTCGTTTTATGGATATTGGACATGCGCATCTATAAATTCTAGCAATCAGTAACAATTACATCCCTTTTTTGTTTGCAATAAAGATATACGCCTTCTTGGTTTAACAAGAAATGTCAAGAATATCAAGAACCCTTTAACCACAAACGTTTTTTTAAACATTCTTTGATCATTTTAAAAAGGAAAGATTTGAAGAACCATATTGAATAATTAATGTTTTAAAGATATCTAGTTTTCTGAGTTTTGTAGATCGAACATAAATCGATATGCTTTTCGTGCTGTTTGCTTTCATTTGCTGTATTTTCCTGCCATATTCTGATTATTTCATATTATTTTCATATGTATGTACAATGCAATATTTTACCCCTTTTTACATAATCTATATATTTTCTTTTCGGGAAATTTATCTATTCTCAATAACGCGTTTTCTTTCTCTCTTTCTTCATGACTTTTTAAAACCAAATTTTGTGAGTATTTGATTTTTTTTTCTTCAAAATTAATGATATCATATTTATAGCTAAACTGTACTGCTTAATGTATTTCAAATACAACAGAGTTTATGCGCATCGTTTTACTATTATTGAGAAAAAGTGGGAAGGGTCAACTCTCTAATGATGTTAAAATTTATGGTCCGACCCTTTTGCTTTTTATGAAAAACTACAGCATCCTTGTAAACACTGTAAATTCATTCGGAAATGTTTTGTCTTATGTTTGCATGTGACATTGTTTCTGCATTGTGTAGAAAGAAAAAGCAATAAAATAATACTAAACTAACTAAAATTATACTAAATTCATTTCGTTTTATCCAAACAATGACGTTTACTAAAAAGGTGCAGCCTTATTTTTTCCAGGATGACTGCAATCACCTATAAAGCGAATCTGTCAAGGGAGGTAATCACCGTACATTGATGACTGGTGTATCAGACTGTACGTTCATTTCTACGTTTTTTTTTGTTGTTTTTTTTGTTTTTTTTTTTTTTGTTTTTTCGAAATAAACTACCAATTCTTTCATTACTGTAAATGGTTTCAATTTTATATAAAAAAGGAAAATTACAATTTAGGCGGCTTGCATATATGCTTATTAGTTGTATTTTATTTCTTGCTTGTTTTGTCACTTTACCTGGCTCATTTCTAGAGTCGCACTCCAGCCGCCCAGTATCTTCACAGTTCACAAATGAAGGTTTTCCGCCGCAAAGTGGACTATCAAAGGGCTCACATATCCCTAAAAGCCAAAAATAAATCTTTTAAAGTCTATCAGAGTGTTTTAAAACATAATATGAAAAACTCTAAGCATTTTATTGCATGAAACAATAAATAATTGATTAAAACCCATCATGTTCTAAATATATAGAACCCGCAAATGTATGTTCTGTGTACATAGCAAAACACTGCTTTGACACATGAAACGCGATAATAAACAAAAATATTGTAAAGAAAGCATAATATTCTGTTTATTTAAGACTTTGTTTCCATTTACAAGACCATAACTCGAAATGGATAAAATACGCGTGTCCTTTTTACTATTGTTTTTCATTATGAATTCCAGAGAATGTTCATTCATTTAGACAGACTATAAGCATGTATAACAAAATATGAATCTGTGTTACCACGCCACGTGAGCGTTCAAGTACTGGCACTAGAGTTATAATTTAGGTGCAAATATTTTATACCTTCTTAGCTTCCGTATAAATACAAAAGATAGAAATTAATATGAGCCGCGTCATGACAAAACCAACATGGTGCGTTTGCGACCAGCATGGATCCAGACCAGCCTGCGCATCCGCGCAGTCTGATCAGGATCCATGCTGTTCGCTCACCAACTCTCTTACAAGTAGAGAAACTGATAGCGAACAGCATGGATCCTGATCAGACTGCGCGGATGCGCAGGCTGGTCTGGATCCATGCTGGTCGCAAACGCACTATGTTGGTTTTGTCATGACACGGCTCATATGTACATTGACTTTGAAAGACTGGCACATGTATATTGAGTTTCGTTTGTCTAAATAAAAAATGTTTAATGAATATTTATAATACATGTACTGTGCATTTGGAACGTCACGTTTCATTGGATAATCGTGACGTTTGTATGTACTATATACACGACTTCTGTCAATTTATGAAGTAATTTCATAATTTCTCTCATAAGATAAGTTTGCTGTTTTAAAAATCTTTTCTTGACATGTTAAATGGTCATATATAAACGGTTGTTTGCAATCTAACCCGAGCCACTATATGCAAAACCGTTTATATAGGGCTATATTCACCTGTCCAAAATCATTATAACTAATAATATAATCCACAAAAGGATTTTACCTGGATGTGACAAGTTTTCTGTAGTTTTCGGTTGCGAGCCTGGAGTCCACGTGCAATCTGGGTCACCTAATTCCTGTCCATTAGTTAACCCATCACCGTCTGAATCCTTGTTGCAGAGTTCAGTGTTCCATACCTTAAGTTAAAAGAGAAAAAAGAAACATTGCTTCATACAGAAACATAATTTCGGTGCCAAGGACAACAAAAAATTGACTATGTCAACTGAGTTTAAAAGATTTCAATATCAAGAAGGACTTTGAAGCCCCCCCCCCCCAAAAAAAAAATAATAATAAAAAGTTTCCCCTTTTTTAAATATTTGTTTTTTCTATACCAATTTCCGGTTCCGATTGACCATATGATATTATTATAAGTATAAAGACTTTTTGACATGTTATATGGTCCTATATTAACGGTTGTTTGTATATTATTTTGTAAACAACCGTTTTATATACGGCCATATAACCTGTTCAAAAATCTTTATAACAAATTTATAATACAGCAAACTTCCTTTATAGAGAAAAAAAGTGAGATTTCTTCTTAAGTTGGCAACAGCCGTGTAAATAAAACTTTATAATACTACTTCACGTTTGTAACGTCGCTTTTCATTGGAAAATCTGTCATTTGGAAATACTTGTATTTCAAAAGGGCTTTTAGTATGATCATTTCATATGATGAATAATTATATTTTGTTCTAAAACAATTTGTTATCTGCTATATAACTTTTGAAATGTGTCCTCAACACCAATCTTGGATAGTTAATCATTTCATGGTATGCTATCACATATGATACTAAATAGTATCAACATGACAAGTTAAGATATTGATATATCTTTCAGTATGGACTAACTTTCTTTACCCAGATTTAAAAACAAACAAAAAATAAATAAATAAACAAAAAGAAACAAAGAAAAGAATTTTTTTTGTACAAATCAGACAAAAAATAAAGAATAAAAAACCTTGCTATTTTTCTCAAAGTCCAGTCCGAAGCTGTTCCGTGTTCCAGATCCTTTATAATTCTCGTGGCCGACACCTTCCCAGTAGAGTCCCTTGATACACGGGTGTGGCACTTTATTTCCATTTGGAATGCTTTCCCTGAAGTACGGGTAGCCCGTGCATGCCGAGACCAAAATGCACAAAGTAAATACGTTGAAACACCAGATCCTGCGTCCAAAAAGTTTACTGAGCATTTCAAATCTAGTTACAAATTTTTTTTAAAAAACACCCTATGATTTACTAAAACATATATTACGAAAGAAAAGTGCCTAAATTAGCCTACAACTGATCCTTATGGTACAAATAATGAACGCTAAAAGCAATAGTAACTGTATACATGTGTTTCTATTTAGTTATAAGAGCACAGGAAACCTGCGCGGAGCTTTGAACTTATTGAAAAATACGCATTTAACCATACACCATAACAGGAAAGGAGATCGCGAAGTCTAAATTATTCAAGTGCCCCTGAAAAAAAGAAAGAAAAGCTTCTTATCTTCATAAACATGTCGCCGCAAGTTTTAAAAAGATAATAATAAAAAAAACAGTTCCATTAAAATGTATGGGTATTTAACAAATACCCAGGGGAAAATTATAGATAAACATTTTAGGAATCGAATATTAAATTATCAGAATATGTGAATGTTTTTGTTTGTAGCCGTATTTAGAACTTAATCATGTGAGCCGTTTGGGCATTTACAATGAAAACTGAGTATACCCTAAAACAGCTTTGTTTTAACATGTTAAAGTAAAAAGAAAAAAGAAAGAAAGAAAGAAATATTATTATATCTTAAATAACACACATATATATAATGTATGTCTTAATATAAATTACGTACGGCACTAAAAGACAAGTATATTTGACAATCGTGTTTTATATGATCACATAATTTTTCACATAGTATGTATTGCTATTATTCAAATATAAATATTAAAGTTAAATCATATAAATGTTTTACCTCATATTGAATAAAGTCCAAATGTTAGTGTTAATCTAAAATTTCAACAACCATCGCTATTATTGGGTTTTATAACAACATTTACCGGATAAAAGCCTTGAAGCATATCGTCGTAGTCAGTGAAGAGTAACACAAATTTGCGGGTGGAGAAAAAAAAATGTAATTTAAACATAAGGGGCGTTTACATCGTTTATTTTTAAGATTTAGATTTTTGATATTGCATTTTATGCATTCATTACAAACAGAGACATGTAAATACTATGTACTTTAATTAACGCCTCTGTTTTATTTCTTTACCACATTTCCCATTCATTTTCTTCACTTTAATTTCCTTTCAATTATTGTAAACGACTTATTGTCGTACATTTTATTATTATTTTTCATGCACATTCTTTATCACTTACCCGTGCCGCTTTTCAATAAAATAATATAATTCGACTATTTCAATAAATTCAGTATGAAATTCACACTCATTTAATATCCTTTATTTAAATAAATGATATAAAGAAATGAAACCTACTTAATTTCCCCCAAAATTAGATCAAACAACAGTTCAATAGTCATAGGTTTGAGTTGTAAGCACACTTACAGTGAGCAACGTGGTATGAGAACATAATTATTTACCCAATCGGTTGTTAGGCATGGTACAACGTCAAATACTTGGAAAACATTTAATATGTTTTTTGACGTCACCGCGCTTATGTGACTTTGTGACAACGTTCAGGCTGCCAAAATAGATGGTCATATCTTTCGAACGAGAAAACTATACAGTAATGACTAATATATATCTGACACATGTATTCCGTATGCATAGGCGACATGCAGGTCAGACTCTTGCATTGATTTTCCTATTAGACTTACATTATCCGACCTTGATATTGAGATTTTGTGCTAAAAAGGTGATTTTTCCAGGAGAATGAAACACCTGACACATAAAAATGACCTCGATATACAGGGGTAGCCAACCATTTTTTTTGCAAATGACTTCAAAGAGGATAACCCCACTGTTCATTGAAATTTTCTGCTGATCACAGGACTAACATACACTTTTTATAAATGCAAATATCCAAGTCACAAATTATCAAAGACACTTGATAGACAAGAAATATTCCATTTACTTAAGAAAACAATACAGTTTCTATTCTATTCTATTCTATTTTCATCCAATCAACTCAAATCCCATTGAATCTAACGGGTTTCCCTGCATTTTTTTTCAGCCAATTGCTGGTTATTGGCCATTGTTACAATACGATAGTCTGACCTACACGCGTATTATTTCCAGTCTTTTTATGAAATTTATTTTAGCAAAAAAAAAAAAAATATTCAAATAAATAAAAAATAAAAATAAATAAATAAATGAAAAAAATGTGGTACCTTTCTTTATTTTGTATATTAATATATAAATTGCATTATCATACAAAGTAAGATTCAGCAAATGATATACAAGGGGGTCATACGATGCGCGCAGATACCGCGAACATTTTTTCAGCCGGTATTTTAAAATGTAAGACAAACAGAATATATCTGAATTCAAAGAAGATGTCCTGACTTTTAGTTTTAATATCCCAAATGCCTTTACACAAGTCTACCCTTTCTCGTTAGTATTTCGCGTTGAATACGATTTTGATTCTGGATACTGCGTACACCACGTGTTGAAATGTTACAGAAATTGAGAAATTGTCGATTAAACTAAAAGTTTGAGACAACTGGAAGTAAGTTTATTGTAGAATCTATTTCATAAATATATTTTCAATCTTTCTTACTTTTCCTGTGTTAAAACGAACTATTTACAGGAAAATAGGCATTATGATACCTAAATCAAGATACTGCGTACACATTTATGAGTTATTGATTCTGCCTACACGTTCTTCGAAGCAGTCTTAGTTTATAATAGAATTAAATGGATAAAACTGGCGAACAAAAAGCAATAATAAAATAAGTAAATAAATAATCTAAATTAAAAATAAGATTCAAATCCTGTGATAAAGTTTGTCCCCTTTATAGCATTTGTCTCATGTGGGGTTGCAATAAAGAAAGACTGTATCTTATTGTTTTCCTTTTTTGTGAAACTGACTCTTGAATACGGGGCAGGGTTTTATTTAACTTGGTCTATAAGGCATACTAAAGGGTCTTTAAGAGTCCAACAAAATATTTTCCGCTAGCTTCTTCTACCAAAGATTAAAAGAAACTATACTTTATAAGGTTCAAAATGTCTTTGATTAAATATTCATTAGCTGTAAGGGGCGTCCGTGGCCGAGTGGTTAAGGTCGTTGACTTCAAATCACTTGCCCCTCACCGCTGTGGGTTCGAATCCCGACAGGGACTTTGGATTCTTTCATGTGAGGAAGCTATCCAGCTAGCTTACGGAAGGTCGGTGGTTCTACTCAGGTGCCCGTTCGTGCCTGAAATAATGCAAGGAAGGGCACCTGAGGTCTTCCTCCACCAGTAAAGCTGGAACGTCGCCAAATGACCTATACTGTATCGGTGTGACGTAAAACCCAATTTATTATACGACATATTTTAACAGGACATAAATTATTTACAATAATCATTACATATATTAAGCAATAAAACTAATTGATAATAATTCTTCGAACCCCCCTTCCCCTGAAATGACATTAAACGAAAATTATGTACAGACATGATAAAGTCTTAATTCTTTATAGTTTTGCAATTTCCAGAAAATCTTAATTGTCCAAATCTGGGGTGATATAAAAGGGGAATAGAAACACCCAATAGATCATATACGGCTATCATTTTTTCTTGTCGTCAAAACCGATCATTCACTATTATAACCAAATAACGAAGTATAAAAAACAACGTTGATCTTTCTTTAATAAAAGGTTTATATTAAAACACAAATTTCTTTAATCGTGATGAAATAAATATACATAATCGCGCAGAAGATTGAATTTTTTTCCAGAACATGTTCATCATCGAATGAGACTTTTTTGTCTTCTTAATTTGCATGAAGATGTACATTTTACTTACAGGTCTTTTCCTTCTTTGACTAACTAAAGCGTCGTGATTAATACAGAGCTCTATTTTTACCCCGACTTGTCACGAATAACCAAAATGACTATTTAGAGGTCAGCGTTTATTTTACCACTGGGTATATATATATATACATGTATGTAGAATATGTAATGTATCCCCGTGGTAAAATAAACGCTATATATAATTACATAAGTTATTATGTATATATTGGTATTTTATTTAATAAACAAAATAAGAAGCAAATAATGCACAATTTAATTAGATTGGTGGCGAGCATGGAGGCCTCCATTGCTTTTATTAATGGGTCATTTCGTTGTAACATAATGTACAACAAAATGTTTAACGGGTGATCCTGCAATGTTACAACACACGGACAGTTAAAATTACATTCTATTCCATACTATGCATCTATTCCATTTTAAGGAATACCAGACTCTCTGGCCGTAGTCTGAATTGGTACACCTGATTTTATTTTGAGTTCATTTTATTTTACCACTGGTCTTTGTAAAAAGCATTTGGCTTTTGTTTATATGAATGGTTTGTCATTGTTCCACTATTCATCTGCTGGAAGATTCTTTAAACAATATCTGGCTTCTCGTCACGTGTTTCATGTGCGTCACTTCCGTGCGTGCTAGACTAGTGCCTGCAATTGCTTCAGGTTTGTTTGTTAGGTTTTATAGTATATGTCACATGGCACCGAAACAGGAAAGAATATTTTGGCTAACCTCGAGTGTTTAAAACTTCAAAGCAGCACCAGGGGTCAAAACCACCTTACCTGCTGGAGCTGAGAGATGATGCATAAATTCAAACCCTTTACTCACCCCTTACGATCAGGAAGGGATAAACGGTGGGTCTCGCTCATTAAAGGCATCCTTTAGGCAAAGATGATCACGTGAACTGTTTTGGCATATGGAAGCGCACGTGATCTGTAATACGCAGGTGACTGATAAATCACTCTTGAATTATTCGCGATTGGTTGGGGTTTTTTTATATATACTTTTTTAATTAAACACTTATAAGAACATCTTTTAAAAAGCATGATAAGATATTGTGCCGAAATATGAAGATAATCAAAAAGACAAAATGCCGTATATTTTAAACTGCATTAAGTGTAACAACGTTTTAAAATATCACCAATACGCGAAGAATGAACAAAGACAGTGGTCCAGTGGTATGAGGATATAAGAACAGTAAACTGTTAAAATTAGTAATTTTTCAATGAGGCGCCCATAGTGTAACGCTAACATTAGCGCGTTTCTATATAGCGCAAATGACGTCACGTCAAAGTGTTATTACACTAGTGTAATATCTTTTTTATTAGAAGGCTTTATTACACTACTGCGCCGCGGTTTATGTGACAAAAGTAGTTATGACAATCCGTTTATTTCCAGAAAGAAAGTGCTTCACAGGATGTGGCAATGTCTGTGTGCCATATATAGAGAATATTGATTGAGTGTAAGTTCACTACTAAATTTATTTCACGAGTTTAATAAAATTATATTATGCGAGCCTCTGGGGAGCATGATATTATTTTATTCAACGAGTTCAATAAATTAAGTTAATAGTTCATTTATCACATACGCAATATAAAAACTGTTCAAAGTGCAAAAAAAGAGTCATTTTTCATTGTCGCGCATATAGTATAACGCTAACATTTAGCACCTCTTTACATTATGTTTATATAACGCAAATGACGTCACGTCAAAACATATGCACGGCCGTGCAATACCATTTTAACGGAGTCGCAAAATCGGCACAGGTATGTGATAAATTGCCGTAAGCGTGACCTTCCAATGTATTGCATTATCTACATTTTAAGACAATAGGTTGGTAGCTTAGCGCTCCGGAAAATTGTACTAACTCGTTCATTTGTTATTTGAGTATACCCGAAGAAAGAAACGATTACCGGATATGGTAAGAGGCTTATGTTACGCGAAATTCTGGCGATCATGTTTCTTTGGCCAGCAACATTGCTTCCGAGATTGTTATGATTAATCGTCGTGTGTTTCCTATTGTAACTCTGTTTGGCATATACTGAAATAGCATTATATTTAAGTGCGGCATATGTAAATTAGACTTGTGAACATAATGACAAAATATTGTTAAAAAAGGTAAAATACACTAGTAAAGCTTGTTGGTCACAATAAATCGTGAATTTTTATCGGATTTTGTTTGCGTACAAGACGCAAAGGGGACGTTCATGTGTGACAAAAATCTTCGTTTGTAAATTAGATTTTAAAATTGAAAGTACGTTTTGACGACATACAAGACAATTAAATCGATTTTGATATTATCTCTTATACGCGTTGTTTCAGCTGTAACGAAAATTACAATATACCTAGTTATTGCAGGTTGTCAAATGTCAGTTAATCACAAAAGGCTTCTTTCTTCATATTTATAAAGAACGAACTTTAAACAAGATATTCATGGGTGATATTACATACAACTAAGCCAATGTTAAATACTTTACATAATGATATTATTGAAAGAGTGAATATGTTTCATTCTAGCTAGTGAAATTTGTTATAACGACAAAAATTGTATACACCAGAATAACTTATCGAAACGTTAACATCCACGTTAAATCGCGAACATTTATAGGTTTTACGGAATGGGTGTTCGAGGTTTACAAACGTACATAAGAAATAGAAAAGAAAAGTTTCTTTGTGACTACAATTTACAGGACACTAGGTTGATAATTGATGGTTCAAATTTGGTTTACTTTCTATATCAATTCTTTGAAATTCCTTTCAAGTTTGGAGGAGACTATGATCATTTTGCAAGAGAGTGTCAATATTTTTTCTTATCATTGAAACGTTTACGTATTGAACCGATTGTTATCTTTGACGGAGCCGATGATCCGACAAATATAAAGTTTAAAACTCATTTGGAACGTTTAGAACAGCAGTCAAAAAATGTTAAAATGATCTTGCAACAGATCAGTGGAACCCTGGACAATGGAGATACATTTATACTACCTATCTTGGCAGAACTTACTTTCCGAAACGTTCTTGTTAAGCTTGGGATAGTTCACGCATGTTGCCTGTTTGACGCCGACAGAGAAATTGCTTTTCTGGCAAATAAATTTAGTTGTCCAGTTTTAAGCGCCGATAGTGATTTCTATGTGTTTGAATTGGAAGTTGGTTGTGTGCATCCTGCAGATTTACTGCCTTTACCTATATATAAACGCCGTATGGATTATTTGCCTACAAAGATCTACAACTGTCGGGTTTTGATGGAAGAGTTGAATATGGTAGATGATGAGGTTATTCTACCAGTATTCGCAACAATGGTTGGGAATGATTATTTCGATTCTTCAAAAATTAAGATCAAAAGCCCCGAAAACACCAGCAGCTGTGACTTATCAAAGAATGACTATATAGGAAAATATAGAGCTGAAAGGCGTGGTTTCAAATCAGATCATGTACAATATACATTAGATTGGTTAAAACAAGCTGGCTTTAGTAGTGGAACGGAAGCCTTTAAAAAATTAACAGAACAGTTAGCAGGCGAAACACATAAAAGTCTATTCGTAAAGTCAGTCAAGTCATATTTCAATATCAAATGTACGCCAGACCAGCATGATGCTGTTGACTTATCAGAGGAAGTACGAGAAATAGTCTTAAGTCGATGTTCTATCAAAGTTGATTTGCCTAAATGGTTTATCTTGAGTCTCATCAGATGTGAAATGAACAGCAAGTTTTTACTGAATATAGCAATTAACAAGCGATATATGTTCCAATCCCAGATTGAAAACCACAGGAAACTTCCTTCATTTGCTTGCTCGAAAGGAATCAGGCGTGTCATATACGAAATTTTGGTAGGTCAGAGACAAAGAAACAAGAGAAAGATAGAAGAATATCACAGAGCTAAAAACAATGTCTCAAATGTGAAACCATTGACTAGTCTCCCGGATCTCCCGAAGATGCCGCACATTGCCGATATTGGAACACTAGACACACCTTCAAGAAAATCTTTTTTGTTCGCAGTATTTGGTGACATGGTAGAAATCTTACCTAAAGAAATTGATGAAACTTCATCAATAATTATTCTCATGCTAAGTCTATGGCAGAGAAACTCGGAAGCGTCGGTAGACCAACTGAAGACATTCGTCATAAGTATTTTCACAATGCAAATTTGCACCGTTGATGATCCAAATGAAATAGAGATACTGAGCGTAAGAGAGGCAACTGAAATTGGGACATTTGTAAAATTCAGGACCAATATGAAAAAGCATTTTATAGAACGCATGGATTTAAACGAGAATGATGTGGATCTTCTACATAAGAATGCACAGTTTCAGGCCATATACAAAGAAATGCAGTTCTTAAACCAACTTCTCTTAAAACCAGTTTGTCTTCCAGATCCCGAAAGATTTCTTCAGAGCACTCTGATTTTCAACGTTTTTCAATTTCTGACAAAGGACAGTGGTAAACCTGAAAGCGTTTTCTGTGGGAAAAAATCACTTCTTTTCGAATTGTTCGAATCCTGGTTTGAATTAATTAGGCGGCTAAGTAAGCGTTGTGTAAGACATAGATGTCCTGTTGCTTCGACGAAAGTTTCGAGAATAGTAAGCAAAAGCAACAAGTATGAACAAATTAAGCTATCGATAAATAATGCAGCGTAATGTTAAAAAAATCATAGTGGAAAAAAACAAAGATCAGGCTTGACATGATGTTGGTATAGTGAGATAAAACTGAAATCTCCGTCTTTTCCGAATGCTGAAAAAGTTAATCCGTTTTGAGCTCAACTGCCAATTTGGCGTGAGTTAGCAGTCTGTGAGATAAGAAAAAAAGTGAAATTGACCATAACTATTCAATGGTTTGAAATGTAGGTAATCAGATGATAGATATTGAGAACTAGTTATCATTGAATAGAGACGTGGATTTGGCCGTGTTATAATTATGTTTTTGCTTAAATGTAGACTAAGCCGATACGCTAAAAATGGTTTATTTCTAAATTATCTTTCAGACTTGTTTAATATAAGTTGTTTTGCAAAGACAATGTAGGTGTGACAAATACACCTTACATCTCCCTCTTTACATTCAGATTTAGTACAAAATCAATTAATATGGCAGCGTGTAGATAATTATGTATTTTCACATTTTGGGATGATAATAAAAAAAAATTCCTTTTTTAAATCTCCGACGAAGTAAACATTCTTTGGAATTTCAATTTCTAATACTTTAATACTTTCTTCCCATTAAAATGAATTAAATATTATTTTCTGTACATAGAAACATTGCATATTATTTATTAAAGATGATTTTGGTGTAAAGCTGTATGCGAAGTATGATATATGTGTTTGTTATCTTGCTTGAGACACGCTATATATTTGTCTGATTCTCATATTAAATGTTTTGTCAAAATAACGCCTTCATTGTGGTTTTTTATATTATTAACCGAACGTTAATGACGTCGGTTTGAAAAAGAGTCCCATCTTTAAAACTCCGTAAATACACAAAATATTAAATTAATTCATCACATACCCGTACCGTTTTTCCGTCTCCTTAAAAAATGGCATTGTATATATTTCGTTGTGAGGTCACTTGCGTTATACTATAACTTAAAAGTATCTTACCCCCGGCTTCCAGTAAAGACCGAACTATATGTCGTATTTTTTTTCTTAAATAATATGCAAAAAGGAACCATACACTGGCTGCGTAACAGAAGGGAATAACTAGCTCTCGGGTAACTGTAACTCAGTTTGTTTAGCGGAAACTTGGAAGAGCCTCGCTACCACGTACTGTAAACAGTTAGATCTTCCATTCAGTTCGATTAATAGAATCTACCATTGGGTTAAAATTTCAACCCTCGGGTGATCGGTTCCAGCGGGAACGATCCTTTGCGAGTTCCCGATGGAAGCGATTGCCCGCGATTGGTATTTGCTTATCCCCTGTCTAGCCTAATCACAGTATATAAACGATTTGAACCCCAACCGGATCTTGTGAGAAGATTTTAGTGTCAGCCATATTCTGCCACTTCACTTGTTTACGATATTGGTATTTATATTGATACCGAGGGACGTTAGGTTAGTAAATCTACATTTTATATTGTAAGAGAGAAACTTTATTAAACGTCTAAGTTATACAAAACATAAACGTTAGCACGAAGGCTATAAAATAATCGAAACTCACGAACTGCTTTCATGTGATCAACACTGAACACGAACAAAAATCCGTAAATTATTCCAAGGTTGATTTAGTAAAACATTGAATTGTGATATCGAACTACTAAAGTAATCAATAACAAACGACAATTTAGTCATATGCATAACATATTGCTGTATCGTGAACATAAATTTTAGTTTTACCAAGGGGGTCATTTCCGTAAACTGAACGTTACTTGCTGGTGATTGTGAACCCTACTTGTGAGTTTACGTATTTTATCTGTACCCTGACTTGTGAGTATTTTTAAAGATTTATTGGAGAAAACGTTTACGCTTATTGCGATTTTGTATCATTTATTGCGAGAAAATATATATGATTGTAATATAATTTTAATATATAAGGTTGGATCGTATTTACCGAGAGTTGGTTTAACAAATACCGAACGTGTTAGATTACCTTCATTTGGCAGGCAAACGTGAGATGTACAAGAAGTTCACGTCATTGCTCGGTGAAATTACCTTTATCAAACATTGCCTTTTTGTTATTTTGCGATGTTGTTGAATGTTTTAGTTTGGACTCAACTAGAGATATGATATATTCGGAAAATGTGAAACAATTCTGGTAGATTGGGTAGAAATTGTTCAAAGGCAAATTTTTGCGGTTTATGTGGGGGTGGAAGAATCAGGGCCAGCAGGTGACAGGGGATCTTGATCCTGCAATCTCTATTATAAACTTTGCTGTTTCTTCATGGTTGTGCTTGGAAAATCATATCTCTCTGAAAAATTAAAAGACCTGTCCTGGTGTTTTGGATGAAATAATAAAACTGATCAGTGAAAATGACATAGATAAAACGAAGACATTTAAGTTATGTGTAGATGGGAAAAAATAAATGTTGGGCTATCCAAACAAAAATGTTGAGATGTAAAATGGGGACTGGAAGGGCCGCCGTCATTGAAAGACAGAGAAAATAAACTTAAAAGTGACAATGACATGATAATCTATTGTATGAAAGTAATTGAGCAGATAGAGCAAAAGGGTGTTGATGACGTTTTAAATTCCCCTGAAAACGAAAAAACTGAATGAGGTTTGTTAGTTGATTATCCCTATCAAGAAATAATTGACTGATTCGTATAACCAGCCACTTCATGCTAGACAGGGAAAACATGACGAAGCTCCATTCATATGCAGTTTTAGTTACTTATATAGAACTAAAACATGTGTCATGCTCTTGTGACACAATAACTTCATATTCTGCACTATAAAATTTGGAACATATGACAAAAAACAATAAAAATCACCAAAAGTGACTCGCAAGTTATGGTTCAGTGAAAACACAAGTAGGGTACAGATCAGAATTGTTTTAGCAAGACGGGTACAGTTATCAGAAATGTCGCCTCTATTATTTACTATGTTTTATCAATATTCAAAGATATTTTTACAAGTTTCTGTCCGGTGGCATGAGGTAAAGACAATAAAGTAAAGATTCAGATATGAGTTATAGTGAAGTAAAACAATTTTAGGCATAAATTTGTTTGTGTAATCGGCGTCTGTTGACATAAACAAAACATGAGGCGAAGAGCACAGCGTTTTATGCGCATATATTTAACGAAGAAGGTTATGGGTGTATATACATGTATAAGCAAAGATAAAGTATTCCTCAGTATGAATACCGTCACAGATTAAATTCAAGCCGATATTTAATAGTTTAATGTGTCATCCCGCCTGATTGTACGTTTAGATGCTGAGATCTTCTCACAAGATCCGGTTGGGGTTCAAATCGTTTATATACTGTGAAACATAGTGTAAAGACGCGCTAAATGTTAGCGTTATACTGTAGGCGCGTCAATGAAAAATGACCATTATTTCACTTTAAACGGGCTTTATTTTTGGTATGTGATAAATAGAATATTAAATTCGTGTAAGTTCATTACTAAATTTATTGCACTCTTTGAATAAAATGATATTTTGCTCGCCAGAGGCTCGCATAATATAATTTTATTCAACTCATGCAATACATTCAGTATTGAACTTACACTCATTTAATATCCTCTATTTATGTAATATAATCATTATGTAATACGAAATTATTATACATTGTTTAGTGCAATTTTGAATTCTATTGGACGAGAGTACTGCTGTCAAACCTGTATTGGACGAGAAGCTAGCCGAGTCTTATACATGTATAGGTTTTACAGATGATAACATGTGTTCGAGTCCAATAGTTCGAGTCCAATAGAATCTGTATTGTATTCAACAATGTATAATGGTCTCTTTATTTCACACACCACTTTTTGACAGAACTTTGTTACTATGAGTAAAATAGAAACCTGATATGTATTGCTTTTTTGGACTCTGAAAATGTAAACAAGACTGGACGGTGGAGAATAATGATATGAAAATAAAGCTAGAAGGAGTACGAAATTAACTAGATTTGGATTATTTTGCTTAAGGTAAAGGCTAAATTTATAAGACTGGGTCAAATTTTTGGGAGATCACATGGCGCAGACACTGGGTCATTGGTTACCTATACAGCAAAAGGACGCGTTAAACGTTCATATAAATTAATTTTCATTAAATATTTAAATGCGTTTTTAAAGACATGTGATGAAAAGGATTACACGTTTATTGTCATATAATGTATAATATATCAAACTCACTAGAGGCTCTCTTTTAAACAACTTCTTGGTGTCATTGTTTGGGTCGTCAGACCAAACAAATAATGGTAGCGAAATTTCAGAGCATAATGCTGTTAATTGCAAATGCCTAAAGTAGTCCACTTTTTTGAAGCGGTTACTTCCCTTTATATGTACACTAACGCCGAAAAATTCAGGGGAGATCAATGCGTAAAAATTGTCAAATTACAGGCGCATTAATTTTCAAGCAAAGTAGTTCCCGAATGGTCGAATATTTCTAATATTGTTTCATTCTTTATAGATATACATGCTTACAGTAAGCTCCATGATTATTTACATCTGTGTTTAGCGTCGAAATAATAAGAGTTACAAATCCTAATTTAGAATAATATGGTTTTCTTCAGGTCGTTAACTTATAATTTCACCGAGACCGAGGGGTTTGCACGCTCGCTTATCAATCGAGAGGTCTCGAGTTCAAATCCCAGTTGAGGCAACTCATTTTTTTTTTAAATTTTAAGTCAAATAAACATTGAATTGACTATCAGTGTTGCAATTAGTCTTATAGCTAATTTACTACAGTTAAAACACTGGAAAGCATTGGTGGCACTATGTTCTCAATATAGCCTCTAGATAATCACGAAATACCAGGATATCACTTCCTCTTCCAAAAATTTTCTCGATGGAGCATGCCCCCGAACCCCCCTATTTAAGGAGTACATATCAAAATAGCTCAGTTACGCCCCTGCTAAGTGAACGATTTTTATTGTTTTCTACAGTGAATTTGGAAAAAAGTTACCACCTTAAATGCATGTCCCTCATATATTGAACAGATACGTTACCACACTTAAGGTAAACCTGAGTAAGAGTAATATGAACTTGTAACATATTAATAGTTTCCTATTGAACTCAAGTTTTGTCATATTTCAAAATTCAAAAATAATTTTGACTACAATATACATGCTAGAACCACAATGACTTTGCAATGATGAGGCAATTTGGATTATACTTTTAAGTGAAACAGATACGTTACCATGATATCCCACTGAGAAACATTTACTATTACCAGCACTTAAAAGTAGGATCGCATTTATGCATTATTCAAATATAAGCTTTATAAAACTTAATATTTGATCTATTTGGCAAACATATGTGTATATCTGATATATTTTTAGATTTT